AAAAACTATTTAGTAATTTTTTTTTGAGTAATAATAACACTAACATCTATTAATAAGTTAATAATAAATTCTAGTAATGGTTTTTCAATTGTCTCGCAGTTTAAGACACCGCCTTGATGGTCGCAAGTTCGATTTCTCGCAAGGCAATTTAACTGACATTTTGTATTCATGAGTATGATTGTTTGTATTAGCAGGATGTTTTCTATATATATTATGTATGTACTTACAAAAAGTGTATTTAAGTATTTATATTATATATCTAGTATTTATACAACATTGCTTAGGTTAAGAATAGACGGCGCTGGGTTTATGTAAAAAAAAGAGTAGTTTCTTTGATTTGCGTGTTATACTAAACAAAGAGTTAAGTATAAAATGCTAATTTTTTTTCTTTTATATAGTAACTAGCGTTTCCCGCGACTTCGTCCGCGAAGATTTACCTTTATTTTTCTAAAAATTATTTGAAGCCTAAAGACGTAAAAATTATTTTGTTCGTCTTAATTTATTCGTTCCATTAGGTGATAGGTTCATACTAATACATTTACAGCCTCGGTGGTCTAGTGGTTTAGCACACAGCTTTACTATCCGATGGTCGTGGGTTCGATTCCTCGCACGGTACAAACATTTGTATTCATGAGTACGATTGTTTGTATCGGTCTGGGTATTTTCTATTGTATTTATTTAAAAAAAAAAATGTACCCATGTATTTATATCAGTTGTCTAGTACCCATAACACAAGCTGTGCTTAGTTTGGGACTAGATGGCGCTGTGTGAATTGTCCTAAGATATTATTATTATTATTATTATTTACATCCTGCATCATCCCTTATTTTATCCCCATGGGGGTTGAATTTATAAAAATCCTATTTAAGCGAACGTCTTCATCAAGCGAGTAGCTTCAATCTTTAATTTCAGTTCAATCAGTCGAAAATCTAAGAAGATTTTTACAAATTTTCATCCCCTATTTTATCTCTTTAGAGGTGGAATTTATAAAAATCCTTTCTTAGGAAATGCCTACGTCATACTAGCTTTAGGCTTGCAAATTCTCAGCCCGATCGATTTAAAATTGACAAAGTTTCATACAAACTTTTATTCCCTATTTTATTCCCTTGAGGGTAGAATTAATCAAAATACTTTCTTAGCAGATGCCTACGTCATAACATCTGCCTGCATGCCAAATTTCAGCCCGATCCGTCCAGTGGTTTGGGCTGTGCGTTGATAGATCACTATGTCAGTCAGTCACCTTTGAGTTATATATATTTAGATATTAGAACAGATTTTTAGATGCGTATACTCATTAGTCATTATACACTTATTTGTTTTCTAATATGGTCTCTGTAATATATAAGTAAGAGCATAGATAATATTTTTTTTTATTCCACAGATACTAGTCACGAAACCGTACAATAGTGTTGTACGTATTCGTGATCCGGCACTGCTTCTTTTGGCAGCACGCCAGATGTGAGTCAGCAGAACACCGTTGCATTGGAATAGTGATGTGCCTGCATTTAACTATCGATAAAATATAAAAGTAGGTACTGTCAAAGTTTTGAACGTCAAATTCATTTATAAAACTTATTCATGTGACTAGATTATTTATATAGTATTTATATATTATTTATACATATAAATAAAATTGGAGTGTCCGTTTGTAATATTGAAATAATCGTTTTTTACTACATGCATGTGAATATAAATACGGTACATATACCAAAATAACATTTTTTACAATTTTTGTCTGTCTGTCTGTCGGTTTGTTCCGGCTAATCTCTGAAATGGCTGGACCGATTGTAACGGGACTTTTTTTTTTATTACATTAGCTGCGTTACCTACTTTTATTTTAGAAAAATAAACTTAAATTCTACGCAGACGAAGTCACGGGTATAGATAGTTATTATATAAATATATAGATAGATAAAAATTTTATTTCCGTAAAGGCACAGTAATATAAAAAACAAAAAATAAAATAAAAGAAAGTATACATTATAATATTTAAAATTAATTACAAAGATATATTACTATTCTTTGCAGTAAAGAATATTTGATGAATTTTATGATGGAAAATGTGAAATGTTTCCCGTATGATATAAATTATGAGCGAATTTAATGGGGATTATCTAAAAAAAAAAACTATCTGTTGCCTTCAATTATTGCCCGGACAGAAACATAAATGTAAATATAATATATGACTATATAATTACCTCTTATATATAAAATTCTCGTGTCACAGTTTTCGTTCCCATACTCCTCCGGAACGGCTTGACCGATTCTCATGAAAGTTTGTGAGCGTATTGAGTAGGTCTGAGAATCGGCCAACATCTATTTTTCATCCCCCTAAATGTTAGGGGTAGTCCACCCCTATTTTTTTTTATTTTAAGGCAAAACAACGTTTGCCGGGACAGCTGGTAATATATATATAAACACATCCTTGTCTTCCAGATAATAATTTGAAAAAATAATCAGATTTTTTTCTATCATCATCATCATCTGCTTCTTCCTTATCCCATTTATTTGTGGTCGACGTAATATGTTTTTCTTTTCCATTCATCCCTGTTCGCAGTCATCTCGTTATTTACTTCTTTTCAATTTTTTTTATATTCATGTGCAAACATGTCAAATCGACAAAATGTTACATCACTACAAGAATTGTCTATAATCGACGAACCATAGACCGCAGAGGAGCGTTATCTTCAATGGTCGGTATAGAGTCTTGCAATTTTCTAGGGTTCCGCACAAAGATATACATTAGAATTGAAGTAAATAATATGTATATATGTATTATAAATTGCATGAATGCTAGTATTTTTTTATACTATTTATAATTGGCATATAAGCATACGGCTTATCTGATGGTAAAGGGTTACCGTAGACTATGGACGCCTGAAATACCGGGAGTGTTACGTGCGTGTAAACGATACTTAAGAGTCCTTAATATACCAATAACATATGTTGGTGGTCACTCTATTCTCCCAAATTTGAATTTAAATGAATCTGTATTATTGTAAATATGTACAACAAAAAATACGAGCTGAGTTTCTTCTCAGTTCTTCTCATCTCAAAATCCGAACTGACGGTAGATTTGACATATCTCATAAGAGTCTGTAATAGACCCACATGAAAAGATATTTTGAATTTGAATTTGAATTTGACGTAGCCTATGAACGCCTCAAACAGCATGGATGTCACGCGGCGCCATGTCGACACTTAAGAAACTTTAATATACTCTTCTTGAAAAATTCCATATTATATATAGTATAGTTGCTAGCTAATACATTTGTGTTGACTCGGATTCATCAGCTTTGCTGTTGATTTCCTTGTAAAAAGTCACAGACAGACGACTTTTTTCAAACTTTTTACGAGACAGTCTTTTTGGTCTATGATGGTCTTATCTAACTCTCATATTTTTAATGTATGATATCAAATGTTGCACCTAGGCGAGTGCAACGCAAATGGTTTACGCTGAAAGGACACCAGTGGAGGATGATAGGATGTACCTAAGATTAGATCTAGATCCGTGGCAAATATCCAGGAATTTATCACTATGGGCTCCACAGGGAAGTAACCGGCTCGAAGGACCAAAAAAACATGTATTAAATCAGGAGCGTTTTGTACTAATTGAATGAAAATTAGTTTTCAGGTTACAACCGTATATTGATCCAAGCTTAAAATACATATATCAATAAGGTGTAACAAAAACATCTTGTTAGCGCGTTGTAGAAAGTTATATGAATCAATACAGCGCCATCTAGTTGTACTAACATAAAACAATATTAACTTGAACACAGTGTATATCAACTTAACAAGGAATATTACTAGTTATGGGACATTAGTCTTAATTAATAATCCCTTCCCCCTACTTTATATTGATTGAAGGAGAGGACTGAAGCTCTCAACTGTATACAGTGACGGTCTAATATAAAAATAGAATAGAATAGAATAGAAATATTCTTTATTCAAATAAACTTAATATGAGCACTTTTGGATAGACATATGTTTTGATTCTACCGCTCATTCGGAACGCAGACTCATCACAAGTAGAATGAGCAAGAAACTTGCGTGTTGCTCAAAAGATAAAGGAAAAAATATATAATCTAATTAAATAAAAGCTAGCAGATGTTTTTCTATTGTGGATTCAATATCATACTATTCTGGTCGTACAAAAGCATATTCCTTTTCAAAGTGCAGAAAGCATCTTCCCTCTTTATACAATTATGACCACCATTCCGCGAACTGCATCAAGAAATTGAGCTTTTATGCAACTGTTCTTTTCTTTTATGTGGTATATTATATGTAGGTATCCATAATATAATGGTATCATGAAAGTGTTAAGGTTTTAAGGTCGATAGTTAAAGGGCTATGGGACTGAAAAAATTATCTGTAATTGAACGCAGATTTTGGAATTGAAAAATAATAATACATTTAGAAACGTATTTATTTTATTTTACAAATTAAATATACATAAATCTGTACAAAATAATGTATTTACAAAAATTTTGTTTTTTAGTTTTTGGCATCTTAACCTTATAAAAATATTAAACCATGACTATGATAACAGAAAGAAATAAATATGTGTATTGTGTATGCTTAATCAAGTGTCGAAAGGGTCGCATATAGTTGCGATTTCCTAGGTCTAAAGACATGTCGTCATATCTACATATATAATTGTTTGCATAAAAAAGACAATATTAATATTTTATTTTTATACTGTATAATTCTACACTTTAGTACGAGATGACTTTGATAACGATTATGAAAAAAAATATTGAATAAAAATAAAATAATAACTTAATAAATATAATTATTTTTTTTTAATAATAAAAAAAAATTATATTTGTTAAATATTCTAATTAAAAAAAAAATTGAAAAATGAAAATGAGAACAAGAGTCTATAAATTGAATGAAATGCTCTTTAAACTTTACGATAAAAAAAGAACACCAAAAACAGTACAAAATCAGCCAAAACATATACACAAACATAAATTGCAAATGCAATATATGAAAAGTTAATTAAAACTCAAATATTTATTTATCCTACTAATAAAACTATCAGATAAAATAGGCTTTTGTGTAATAGACGTAATTTTATCTCTCAAATGCGATAATGTAGATGCTAAATAACTTTTTGGTGTTGAAGATAGGAAATTGCTAGCTGTAGAAAATATTGGTAGAGGCGTTATAGTTACTGGTACACTATTCCTAATGTCAGTATAAAGTGTTGGTTTTGTTGTTCCTATTATAACTACATGTTCTGTTGTTGTGTCATACGGATCAGGTGTTGTTGACGGTACTTTAATTTCAAAAGGCACTTTATTTTCATAATTATAATCTGCAGTTGGCTGTACAGTACTATAAATATTTTTATCCAAAAATAATCCTTTCAACTCATCAAAACTGGGCCTGACTGTTGTTGGTACATATTTTTTATAATCTGGAACTATGATAGGTTTCATATCAGATGTTTTAACATTATGAAAAGCATCGTATTTACTTTTATGTGGTTCATAATCGTAGTTTTTACTTTCGTATTCTGTTGAAAAGTCATTATTGTAATATTCTTTCGATGCGTCTGAATATTCATTGTAATAATCGTTGGTTGGTGTTTTATATTTTTCATCATTGTCAACTTTATAATTGTCATTATTATAATTCTTACGATTATCGTTAATAAAATTATCACTATACTTATAATTATCATTATTTTTATAGTTATAACTATGACTGTACTTATCATTATGATTATTTTTATTATTATAATCATTATTATTATATTTATTGTCATAATTATAATTACGGTTGTATTTCTCATTGTAGTCGAGGCCGTGCTTATTGTTGTAATCATGTTTATCATTATAATGATTATCAATACCATTGCCAATTGTTTTATCTTCATCGTCGTATCTCACATCGGCTTTATAGCCATTTTCATCGGCTGTATACGAAACTATCTGCATTCTACCATCCGGGAGTCGAACCCTATACTCCCCACTAGTGGCGGAACCACTGCTATGTTGAGAGTGTGAGAAGTCATCACCAGTTTTATGATCTTTCACCGTATAGGAAAAAGCGTAGTTTTTTCCCTGAAAATAATTATTAGTCTTTAATATTATTAGCATAAATATATTTGCAATATAATCTGTATTGATTCACAACTTCAAGATCGATATTTTATGAGGATGTAAATTTATGTGTTAAAAAACCTAGGGCATCCATGATCTCTCTTTTAGTTTTTTCATTTTTTTTGTCATTAACCGATTATGATGAGAATTTTTTTTGTTGGTGTAAATAAATTTTGTGGTGAAACGCATTTTTTACTTAGTGGTATGAAAAATGTTTTACATTCAGACATGCTGAATATACTTAAAAAAATTCATAAGACGAGGAGATTTATTACAGACACAGTTGCCCCGACTTCGCACGGGTGTACATGTATTGTACATATAAACCTTCCACTTAAATCTAAAAACTGTTGCGTAGTTTGAAGATCTAAACGTACAGACAGCGGAAGAGATTTCATTTTATACTATGTAATAACGATACAGAGTTTATTTTATACTATTTATGATTAAACTGTATGTTATTATTCTTATACTAAAATTACCGGATCGGAGTTGTCATTATAATCATTGTCGTTTCCTTGATTTTTGAGTGAATAGTCCAGCTTTTTGACCTGGAATTAGACAATGGTATCACTGTTAAGTCACGAAATTTCTTAAAAGATTTAAATAAAATTAGTAACCCCTCCGATCGATCCCCTGTCCAATTCAAACAGGGACCGATGTTACGAAGATCTGAGCCGAGGTTCGAACCCCTAGCGGTGGCCTCAGACTATAGTCGTATCCGTCAGGCGGGAGATGGCCTTCAGCCGCTCCGTAAGTCCTTCCGCGGGTTTGGAGTGCCATCTGCACTCGCCCCCTACCGTCCGGTGAAGCTGTAAAGGCCAGCTCCGGCCAACAGCATTAGAGTAGTCCGAAAATAAATAAAAAATTAAATAGCAAGTTGCTTGGTGGCTGAAATAAATGAGAACTGCAATAGCCATGCAGACAGATTTTTAAAGTCATCTTCTGGTAGTAAATAATAAACGAAAATATCACTAATGTTGACTGTTGATACCATTGGTAGCAATGTGTCATTGCTCTGAAACCATCACGATAAATTCCTGTTGAATTTACCACGATTAGCTAACTCACCTGATCTCATGCTCATCCTCCACTGGTGCACCGCTAGAGTAAACCGTTAGCGCAAGCGAGTGTACCATTAGAATACATGATTATAAAAAGTCATATGCTATGTTATCATATTAGCTACTATATAATAATATCTCAGAACAATTCACACAGCGCCATCTAGTCCCAAGCTAAGCAGAGCTTGTATTGTGGCTACTAGACAGCTGATATGAATATACAGATACATTTCTTTTGTTAATTCATACATAATATATATAGGAAACACCCAGACCGATACAAACAATCATACTCATCAATGCAAATGTTTGTATCGTGCGAGGAATCGAACCCGCGACCATCGGTAGTAAGACGGTGTCCAAAACCGCTAGACCATCGAGGCCGTCTATATAATTTACCCAACTTCAATAAAGAGCACTTATTAGTATTGTACTTGCCTGGTGATCATAACGATTAAGTAACTTTAATTTAGATTTTCGTTGTACATTCAGCGCTTTTTGCTGCGCATGATCGGATAAAACTCTATAGATTGGTGGTAGCACGGTTTGACCCTGAAAGAAAGATAATAGTAACTATAAATGTATAAGTACCTATACTAAAACACATTCTATAATAATAATTTTAATATCTATATATAGTTCCGAGCTAAGTATAGCTTGTGATATAAATACTTAGATATACGAGTACTTTTCTGTAAATAAATACATAATATACATAGAAAACCATAAATGCAAACATCATACTCATAAATACAAATGTTTGTATCATGCAAGTAATCGAATCCGCGACCTTCAGAAATAAAGCAGTGCGTTAAACGGCTAGACCACCGAGATTGAGAAGTTGCCTATAATTATTTAATACTATTTTGAAAATAAAATCAAATCAGAAATCATTTATTCATGTAGGACATTTTAGCCGCTTATGAACGTCAAGTTTATTGTAATTAATATTTTTTCCCTACCGTCCAGTTCAGTATACAGATTCTATTGAGAAGAGAAGTTAAAAGTCTCTTTTTACAACACTTTTACATTGAACAACTGATTTAAAACAATAAAATAAATTTAGTTGAGTTTCTTGCCAGTTGTTCTCAATTGAATCAGTTGTTTAATGTAAAAGTGTATTAAAAAGCGACTTGTTAATGTAATAACAAGATTCTTGTTATTGTAAAAGTGTCGTTTTGAAAAACTGTTGCTTAAGGCACGTTGATATTGTAAAAGTCTGTTTTTAAAAAATCACTTGTTTAATGTTTCTCTCTTGATTTAATATGAATGATTTGATGGCTACCCGCCTACATCATCTCGCAAACAACAATTCATCAGAACAATCATCCAACAATACGTGTGAATGTAACAACACCTGTTTTCTAACAATAGCGTTGTAATCAATCATTATGTGAATGGATGAAAAAATAATATTCCCAAATCGTGCTAGGAGGCGGCAGATGAGTTTCAGATGCTGTGCGAATATGTTGTTTTTGAACATATACTACAATATACTCTAACATATACTAGTACATTTGATGTCGATACAAAAAACTAAAGATACATAAAAATCTATAGAAATAGTAATCTTATTATAATACTAGCTGCACCCGCGATTTCGTCCGTTTAAAATTTAACTTTATTTTTCTAAAGTAAAAGATTTTTTCTAAAATAAAAGTAGCCTAAGTTACTTCTTATTACATTACCTGTTAATTACAAGTCCCGTTAAAATCGGTTTAGCCATTTCAGAGATTAGCCGAAACAAATAGACAGATAAGTTTAATTATATGTATATTTTATTTGCTCTTTTTTTTCGTTTGTTGTTTATATTGTATTTTTTACATTGCACTGAATAAAATATTTTTCTTTCTTCTTTCTTTCTATAGATAAAAATTTAATTTTGGTATATGTACCATATTTATATTCATTACTAAAAAAATGGTTATTTCAATATTACAAACAGACACTCTAATTTTATATGTATAGATTATAAACGCGAAAGTATGTGAGTACTGATGGATGTTTGTTACGCTTTCACGCAAAATCTACTGAATGGATATTGCTGAAACTTTACAGTAATATAGCTTATCAGAATAACATATATGTTTAAAAGAGCAACACACAAGTTTCTTGCTTATTCTTCTTGTGATGAGACAGCTTTCCGAATAAGCGGTAGGTTTAAAAAAATGTTGACTATTCAAAAGTGCTTAAATTAAGTTTATTTGAATAAATGATTTTCTATTCTATTCTATTCTATAGCCTATAAATTTCATGCGAGTAAAACCGCGGGCACAGCTAGTAATAAATAAATAACCCTGGACAATTAACACAACACCATCTAGTCCCACGGTAAGCAGAGCATGTGTTATGGGTACTAGACTACTGATATAATTTAAAAAATGCTTATTTTTTATAAATACATACATAATATACATAGAAAATACAATCAATACAATCATACTCATGATACAAATGTTTGTACCGTGCGAGGAATCGAACCCACGAGCATCGGAAGTAAGGCGGTGTGCTAATCCGCTGGATCAGCAAGGCAGTTCAAAAAACTATCTGTCTGTCTGTCTCGCTTTCACGCCAAAATTACTGAACCGATTTATATTAAATTCAGTACACGGGTAGTCTAGACCCTGAGAAAGGACATAGGCTACTTTTTAATGCCAAAAAAGGGTTCTAAGGGGCTGAAAGTGGATGAAAGTTTATATGGAATTATTGTCATTTTTAAAACTAGAATTACATTTGATTAAATATAAATAAAGATCAGTTAGCGCATCGTGATAAATTTAGCAGAAATTGATCATTAAGATTTCCACGGTGGTTGAATGTGTATATTAGATATATGTATATGTACGTATACATATGCATGTATATGTATACATTTTAAATAATTATTTATCTGTATGTGTGTGCAACATTGTTATGTTAGTCAATAAATATTTTCTTTCTTTCAGAGAGAACTGCAGGTCAATCTGATATAGTACATTCTCCCAAAAAATGCCCTTTCTCCTTTATAATTCACAGTAACTAATCTTTAGTAATATTATAAATGTTAAAGTAACTCTGTCTGTCTGTCGGTCTGTCTCACTTTCACGCCAAAACTACTGAACCGAATGAAATTTACTACACAGATAGTCTAGACCCTGAGAAATAACATAGGCTACGACTATAGGGTTGTAAAGGGTTGAAAGAGGAGATATATGGTAGTATCGTCCTTTTTTAAGTTAGAAGATTGAAACTAATTTTTTAGGTAACTGTTGATTATATATAAATAAATATAACATTCAATTTTATTTTATATTGCCCGTGAGGGGATAAAAGAAAATAGGGGATGAAAATTTATTAAATAATTTTTCTTTTTTTGGGCAAGTTATATTCCATAATATATAATATAACATATTTAATATAATATAATATATTTATTTTATTTTTCTCCACAAAATCATACATAATATAGAGTGCTGCAGAGCCTTTGAGGCATGTAAAATTCTATGTAAAAATACAGATTTGTGGAGAACTGGTGCCTGTATTAGGTATCCGAAGAACCTGTATCACGGGTCACCAGGTCCCCACACTAGATCTTACATTAGATGAAGGATATGGCTATTCCATGTGGACGAAATCACGGGCACAGCTAGTTGTTTATATTTCTCATACTCAATAGGCACACTAATTTATACCTTCAGGCTATATAAGGCTTGTACATTCGTAGCATAAATGAAATAACTATCGTATATTGGCTCCATATAGTTAGATCAATGCAGATAAACCAAGTCACTGGAAACCGGGCACAATACGCAAAGGATGACCCAAATAGCCCCTACTGCAGCGGTTCTCAAAGTTCACTGCCACGGGGCCCACATATTGAGATGGCCGGGGCAGGGGCCGGGGCCCAGACATTAACAGACTAATGATGGAAAGTTGTAATCGATGCCTTTAGACAAGCAAACCAACACTATATTATAGTCATGTGACGCCTGTGTGAGTATTCCTCATGCATTATAATTTCTGAGGGTTATGTGTCATGGTTCTGTACCCTGTAATTTCACTGCTGTATAATAATAATAATATAATATAATAATAATAATCTCAGGACAATTCACACAGCGCCATTTAAACCCAAGTTAAGCTAGCTAAAGCTTGTGTTATGGGTCCTAGATAACTGATACATATACATAGATTTTTTTTGTAAATACCTACATATTATACATAGAAAACACCCAGACTGATACAAACAATCATACTCATGAATACAATGTTTGTGCCGTGCGAGGAATCGAACCCGCGACCATCGGTCGTAAAGCGGATATATCTAGACGGCGATGTGCAAAATCTAACTCGGCACATTCTCTTCTCTTCTCACCAACGACATTAGACTACGCAGTTTAACTTTTATACTATTATAATTATACACTAGCAGCGTAGGTATTAATTCTACATTTAGTGGTCAATGAAAGGACTAATCATTATTATTGACTTATTGGGTTATTAACCTTAAAAAACGACAATAAAAAACTGGATCGGATTTAAATCGATACAGGGATTACACTTCAGAATAGAAAATATGTTATCAATAAACGTTCGTGACCCACCAGTGGACCGCGACCTATAGTTTGGGAACCACTGGCCTTCTGCATTATATGGTATTCGATATAGAATGGTACATGAGGATTTGTTATTTTATTAAACAAGATTTTATAGTCTAAGGGATCATAATTTAAGATGATAGTAAGTAATTTTGATATATAATTTAAAATAAGACATGATATCGTCATCATTATATAGTATAAAACAAAGTCGCTGTCGCTGTCTGTCCGTCACTATGTATGCTCAAATCTTTAAAACTTCGCAACGGATTTTGAAGCGGTTTTTTTTAAATAGATAGAGTGATTGAAGATGAAGGTTTATATGTATAATACATGTACACCCGGGCGAAGCCAGGGTGGGCAGCTGGTAACTAATAAAATAAAACTTATACTTTATTCTTTATATTATTAATTTTAAATACTTTAATAGAGTTTTACTACGGGTAGGTACTGACAACTGATAGAAATAAACACGTTTTTTATTCAAATAAAATTTGAGCACTTTAGAATAGTCATACTTTTTTAATTTACCACTTTTTTGAAAGCTGTCTCACTACAGGATGAATGAGCAGGAACAAATTTAGTATTTTTAAATTAACTATAACTTTATGTTTTTTGTTAAAATATGATATTTGGTAGTTTTTATTCAAATACAAACTACCAAATAACGAATTTATTTCAGTCCGAGTCAATATTAAATACACAGCTCGTACATCTACGACCTCGGTGGTCTAGCGGTCTAGCACACCGTTTAATATATATATTACCGACCAATCGAGCAATCGAACTTAAAATTATGAACAACATATATTCGCGACCAATGTTATGTTTTTTATGACAAATTTTTATGTTTATATTTCTATCAATTTTGAATGTATTTTCTATCCATTGTTTGATTTATATCACACATACAGTCCACTCATTCTATCGTCCACATTTTGGTCCATCTTCGCTAAAAAACCAACCAACATATATAAATATATCATAACTTTTTTGTAGCAGTATTAATTTTCTAAATTGTATTTGTAATACATGAAGTCAAAATTGCGAGCAAAATGAGCAATTAATATTATAAAAAAACTCTATGTCGATAGTCGCATAGGGATGTACAAAAAAGTCGTTCATATATTCAAAATAAATAACAATAATTATTACCGTTATAAAACATATTCTAGTATTATTTGATAGATTTATTATTAATAATGACTAAATAAGTTATTCTGTAAGTTTTCGTTCTGTTATATTTAATTTAATTTGTACATCATTTGTCAAACCTAGAGTGATTTTCGTCAGTCATACTAATGTATTTCTAATGACGTATAATTAATTTAGTGAAACGAATCGAAATATTTAATAGATTTATGAAAATATTCAATACATTTACTGATTATTGATGCTATCAATATCAACATTATAATATCGTGTACGGTCGTAAATGGTACAATAAGTTACAAAAATTAAAAAAGTTTCTGACTTGACTCTAGCTTCATCTCATCATTCCCCACATCCACATTTATCCATAAAAAATGCTAAACTCTAAGGCAGGCATTGGTATTAGATACCACGAATAAATACTTTTTAAAAATAGTTGCAGTGTTAAATTGTTGGACAGTTCTTAGCAGTCAGCCCTTCAACTATTATGCATTTGTAAGAATATCGGGAATATTCCCGTAATATAATATGGTTGCATTCTATTTTGATTTATTCTTGTGCTATCTGTTATGTCTGCTTCCTAACTTTCTTAATTAATTTTTGATAATTTCTACTAAACACATACGACATATTTGAATACTCAGACAACAATGTCGCAAAATAGTTGCAGTTTTAAATAGTTGACAGTTCGTAGCAGTCAGCCCTCCAACTATTGTGCATTTGTAAGAATATCGGGAACGTTCCCGTAATACGGTTGTTTTTATTTTGATTTTGTATCTGCTTCTAGCTTTATTAACATAATTTTTGATAATTTGTAAGGATATATGAAAGACGGGAGATGAAAGATTGTATTGAAAGTATCGTTATATTTAAAGCTAGAAGCCTGAAACTTATTTTTAGGCTGTTGATTGATTTATATCTTTTTTTTGTCATTTTTGAAGCTAGAAGTTTTTTATTTGGCTTTTATATAGGTTAGACTATTAAATATTTTTTTCATTATTTTGTCAAGATCACTACTTTACGAGGACGAAGTTGCTGGTACAGCTGGTTTTTGATTGTTTCTACTTAATGATACGACACATATAAAGACGCAGGACGCAGACGCATTTGTTATAACATCGGGAACGTTCCCGTAATACAATGTGGTTGCATTTTATTTTGATTTATTGATATTATATCTTTTTTATCTGCTTCCTAACTTTATTAACTTAATTTTTGATAATTTCTACTTAACAACAACACATATATAAAGACGCAGGTAAAAACATTGTAAAATAGTTGCAGTTTTAAATAGTTGACAGTTCGTAGCAATCAGCCCTCCAACTATTATGCATTTGTTATAACATCGGGAACATTCCCGTAATACAATACGGTTGCATTTTATTTTGATTTATTCATATTCTATCTTTTGTTTCTGCTTCCAATTTGCGATCCTGTAGACAGATTTCTATTTAAATTTCAAACTAGTTGTTTTCGTAATACAAAACGGTTTTGTTTCATATTTGTACCTAATGTAAAAACAAAATCCGTACGAATATACTGGCCTGGTGTCCGTCTGTTCATCTTTTCATGACTAAATGGTTGAATGTATCTTAATGAAAGACGTGATTAGAGATTATTTCATGAGAACGGATAATAGGTTATTTATTTATATAGAAAAGAAGGTTAAGTCATGGTTACCTATAATATATAATGAATGAAATTGTAATAATATTTGTGTAGAGTTCCCATGGGATATAAAAGAATCATCCAAAGCGACTAATTATTAGAAAAGATTTCGTACATCTTAAGAAATAAATTTGAGGGTATCGGTGATGTAGCGGTTTAAACACCGCCTTATTTCCGTTGGTTGCAGGTTAGCTTCCTCGCACAGTACAAAGATTTGTATTCATGAGTTTAATCGTTTGTATTGCTTGGACTATGGGTACTAAACAACTGATATAAATATCTACTTAACTTGGAACTATGTGGTGCTGTGAATTGTCCAGGGTTATTATTATTATTCTATGTTTTTATATATATTATTATTATTATTACTTAAAAAAAGCAGTCGAAGTTATTTCTAAAAGTCAGTACTTAATATAGGCACTTACCTCATAATCATCATAATTTCTAAAACCATATTCGTCGATTTTCTTCAAAACATCATAGGTTATACCACCATCATCGTATGTAGCAGGCACTATAGTTGGTATAGGGAAATTGTAAGCTTTGTCCAGTATTCGGGTTCGATTCCTCGCACAATACAAATATTTGTATTTATGAGTGTATATATTTTTTATGGACATTATGTATATATTTAAAAAAATCTATTTATTCATATCAGCTGTCTAGTACCCATACCTTACCTTGGGTCTAGATGGCGTGAAAAAACAGTACAATTAACATAATGCCATCTAGTTCCATATTAATTTCATATCGTACTTTGATATTAAACAACTGATATAAATATCTACTTAGCGTGCGATTATATGGCGCTGTGTTTAATTATCCAGGGTTATTATGATTATTTACTTCAAAAAAGCAGTCATTGCTTACCTCATAATCATCATAATTTCTAACACCATATTCGTCGATTTTCTTCAAAACATCATATGTTATAGCACCGTCATCGTATGTAGCAGGCACTATAGTCGGTATAGGGAAATTGTAAGCTTTGTAATTCTTCTCTCTTGCTAAGTACACTGGCTTGTATACACCTTGAACCTGGCTCTGTTCAGCTATGGAGTTGTTCAGTTCACTTCTGGCCAGTGACTCGATGAGAGGCCGTGATGTTACGATCAGTGGTGGTCGGGGCGGAGGAGGGCCGTCATTTGGGAAGAGTATTGGTCCCTGTCTGAAAGTATAGATAGATAGATAGATAAAAGTTTTATTTGCGATAAATGGTACACAGTCTATATAGATTCTTCTTCTTCTTTCTTTTTTGAAACGTATTAGTTCTTGTTTGAAAGAATAGGTACATAGATAAAACTTTTGTTTGAGATATAGGGCACACGCACTATATTAGATTTTTGACTTTTTCATCCGTCATACTCGTGAAAGGGTGCTGCTTGTGGGGACTGGTCTGTTCGGGTTACGAACACTGATTACACTATTTGCTTATACAATAACATATGCTGGAGGTCACTATTCCGCAAATTTGATTTAAAAATGAATCTGTATTATTGTAAACATGTACAACATTGATTTGAAAAGAATATGAGCTGAGTTTCTTGTCAGGTCCTCTAATCTAGAAATCATTCCGCACTGACGGTAGATTTGACATATCATAAGAGTCTGTAATAGACCTACATGAATACAGATATTTTGAATTTGAATTTGTCTGGTTTTAATGAAATATTTATGGGACCAGGCTGTTAATATGTCATTGCAAATATTTATTTATATATTCGTTTGCATACAAAAATGTATAGATGGCGTACTTGATGCCTGATGGCATTCTCTACCAGGCGACCGTCGCGTTGATCAGAGATAATAACGCGGTGCAATTTAACATATAATAATATTATATATAAAGAACTTTTCAACACAGTACATGAATGTTGGAGTTAATAAACATAGAAATATAGAAAAAAGCAACTGAATTAAATGACTTATTTTTACGAAACCGAAAAAAGCTGAAGTTAACTTTTATACATTTCATGGTAATCTAGTTCGACGGTTGAAGTTTTAGATGAACTCAAAATTGCATTAACACTTCACAGTTAGTTTCAAAACTTGCATTATATGTTGTAGTTAGCGGTTACGACTTTCGCTCGGGTTATTGATTGGACTTATGTTTAATATTAGTTAACTTTTAGATTGGTATTTCTAATATGTTCTATATGGTAATAGTTGAACTGTGTATGCACAGATTAATATATATTTATATATGGTGTTGCTCTTTTAAATAAATGTTATTTTAAGTAAATAATTACACAATAACAACTAAAAGGCATGCTATGATCAAAATAGAAACCGCTACTCATTCATTCATAGTGAAGTCACATAATATTGCCAGGGCTTTGACGTTATTATGAACCACAAACGCTTCAATTTTATAAGCACTTTTATAGAGAAAATGTTTTATACACGATATATGGTTAGTGCTTCTTTAGACCTCATCCTAAAAAAAAAGTTACTCACCCTGAGTTACTTCTTTTTTTAGGATGAGGATGGGGATGAGGACAAAATGCTCTCATAGCTCCAACTCTCTTTAGTACGGCTTTTCACTTCCTGCGCTATTTCGTTCTACCACCCGCTTCCAGAGGTCAAGCTGGCATTATCGCGCAACTGGTGATAAACATTTCAAGCCGCTAGCGGCATTTACTTGTGGTATTTAACACGCACCAAGCAAAAATGCGGTTAATTAACCGTTAATAACGAAAAAGCAAAATGTAAATGTTAATAAATGACTTTGCATTTATATTGGTAACTCATTTACCAGATGGACCATCAGCTTATGCCATTGAAATTACTTTACAATCGACGGTCTCGGTGGTCTAGCGGTTTAGCACACCGCTTTACATCTGATGGTCGCAGGTTCGATTCCTCGCACGGTGCAAACATTTGTATTCATGAGTATGATTGTTTGTATCGGTCTGGGTGTTTATATATTAGATATGTTTTTACAAAAAAATAAATATCTAAGTATTTATGTCAGTTATCTATAACACAAGCTCTGCTTACCATGGGACTAGATGGCGCTGTGTTAATTTAATAATAATAATAATAATCTCAGGACAATTCACACAACGCCATCTAGACCCAAGTTAAGCTAGCTAAAGCTTGTGTTATGGGTACTAGATAACTGATACATATACATAGATATATATTTTTTTCGTTATACATATTATACATAGAAAACACCCAGACCGATACAAACAATCATACTTTTGAATGCAATTGTTTGTGCGATGCGAGGAATCGAATCGAGGAGCGAGGCTTAGCCGGTGACTATTGGAAGTAAGGCGGTGTGCTAATTGTCCAGGGTTAAAAAAAATACATGTAAAAAATCGTATTTTTGGTGTGAAAAGGCCCTTATCGTGTCCAGTAATCCATTAACAAGTAGCAATACTACTAATGCAAAATCAATATTACCGGTTCTCCAGATGGCAACGGGTAGTTAAATTTAACTGTGCTAAGTGCTTTTAAACGAAGAACATCAGTTCTGTACGGTCTTATTGTAAAATATAATTGCGATACGTTTTGCGAAGTTATTTTATTGAAAGGTGAGTGCTCTAACCGACTTGAAAAGAAGTGCAGTAGGTTAGGTAATTATCTGGTAAAGTCATCACCGATTTTGATGATACTTTTTGTAATGGATAGTATTGTTTCTATATACCATATACCATATACTTTGGGGGAGGCCTATGTCCAGCAGTGGACGTCTTCCGGGCTGCGATGATGATGATGATGATGATACCATATATTGATTCATAGTTATCACTTACTAATTTTTGTATTATGAAAATATATATGAAACCATATCACTAAAAAGAATCATAATAAATTAACTAGATGTAATCCTTGGTGATTACATGATGATCAATACTTTAGTTTCTTCACTACTATAAAAAACATATTTCCTGCATATCATGCACTTTTATACATTTAGTAAGATTCAAAGCTGAACCATAGTAATAGACATAATCTTTATTCAAATAAACATAATTTAAGCACTTTTGAATAGTCACATTTTTTTAATTCTACATCTTACCGGGATGCTGTGTCTGTATCCCGGCACAAGAAGAACGAGCAAAAACTTACGTGCTGCTCTTTTAAATAAATGTTATTTTGAGTAAATACACTTTAACAAGGATTAGGCACATGATAATCAACATAGAAACTGCTACGCACTCAATTTTTGTGCAACGCATGCCTAACCCTTGTTAATGTAATAAGGGTTAGGCATGCGACAAGCAACATAGAATGATGGAAGTAACTCACTTCGTTGGTTCAGCAGACTTCAATCCCTGCAGGCTACCAGCTTCATAAGCATGGTGATTGAAGTTCCTGGGGCCGAGGAGACTGGCTGGTGTGCCTACTTCTTCCGTGCTCACACTTGACATAAGCAGTAGTAAGAAGAAGGCCATCTTCAGAACCAGGAGATGACGTAGTGCTGAGAAACAGATATTCTTAGGTAACTCTTTCTTTAGGATTACTTTTTAATAAAACTGGACAATTCACACAGCGCCATCTAGTCCTAAGCTAAGCAGACCTTGTATTGTGTGTAGTAGTTGACTACTCTAGTCAACTAATATAAATACTTAGATATCTTTTTTGTAAATATACATAATATACCTAGAAATAATTAACACCTGGACAATTCACACAGCGCCATCTAGTCCCAAGTTAAGCACAGCTTGTGCAATGGATATTAGACAACTGATACTTAGATACATTTTTTTAAATAGGTACATGATATATATACATAGATAACATTCAGATCCTTACTTCCAATAGTCACTGGCTAAGCCTCGCTCCTCGATTCGATTCCTCGCATCGCACAAACAATTGCATTCATAAGTATGATTGTTTGTATCGGTCTGGGTGTTTTCTATGTATAACATGTATAACGAAAAAAATATATATCTATGTATATGTATCAGTTATCTAGTACCCATAAAACAAGCTTTAGCTAGCTTAACTTGGGTCTAGATGGCGCTGTGTGAATTGTTCTGAGATTATTATTATTAAATTAACACAGCGCCATCTAATCTTATGGTAAGCAGAGCTTGTGTTATAGATAACTGACATAAATACTTAGATATTTATTTTTTTGTAAAGACATATCTAATATATAAACACCCAGACCGATACAAACAATCATCTCATGAATACAAACGTGACGATGGCGAAACAGATGGCGCTGTGTGAATTGTCCTTAGATTATTATTATTATAATACAGATTAATTTTTAATTCAAATTCGGGAGAATAGAGTAATGGAAAGTTGGTTAAAGTTTGATCTATCCATGTTGGAAAGTTTGTACAAGATTCCCTCTAGTTACAGGAACATCTAGTTCCCTTCTCACGTTATTACATCATTTGCAATTATGATAAAGATCGTTAGTTTCTTTATTAATTTAATAACATGGTTGGAAGCGCTGACAAATCATCTGAAATAATACATCTATTGTTTAAATTACATAATGTATTCAATGAACAAAGTACATAGAATAAAGGTCTAATATTCAACCAATATTAGACGTTTCTATGTACTTTGTTCAATGCCTCAAGGTATTAAGTTCGCAATGTACACATTTATTCATGTATTTGTACATTGGTGACTCAAAGGTGACTGACTGACATAGTGATCTATCAACGCACAGCCCAAACCACTGGACGGATCGGGCTGAAATTTGGCATGCAGGTAGATGTTATGACGTAGGCATCCGCTAAGAAAGCATTTTGATTAATTCTACCCCCAAGGGGATAAAATAGGGGATGAAAGTTTGTATGAAACTTTGCCAATTTTAAACCGATCGGGCTGAGACTTTGTATGCATAAAGCTACTATGACGTAGGCATCCTAAGAAAGGATTTTGATAAATTCCACCTCTAAAAGGGATAAATTAACGCGAGTCAAGCCGCGGGCATAGCTAGTTATATTATAAACATGACTGTCTGTTAGTTATCTTTTTTCTAATAAATTGTATTAAGGGAACAAACATTATCATCTGTTTCTCTCTGATCCCATTTATTTGTAGTCGGCGTAATATGTATTTCTCTTCTATTCATCCATGTTCGCAGTCATTTCGTTATATGAGAATATATAACGAGATGACTTTCTTATCATATCATCTTTCACACAGTCTATCCATCTCCTTTTCGGTCTTTCTCTACCCTTACAACCATACATATTAATATGTAATATCTTTCTTAAATTATTGTCATCACTCCTACACATTATTTTGCCCATACCACGACAGACGACTCTTTAACCTCTCCGACACCGGCGCCACTTTCATACTTCCTCTAATGTATTTATTCATTATCTTATCCATCCTTCTCCTTTCACCATAGAAACAAAAACATCCTATTTTATTAAAAAAAAAAAATTGAACAAACTCTATAATTTTATTGAGTTATCTCACCCTTTAATAAAAATACATCTTACAAACGCAAGACGATTGACGGCAGACATAGGACTAAATTCAAATAAAAATAAAATATTTTTATGTAAAAAATATTTATAAAATTTATAAAAAAATACTTATGTTTTTTTTTAAGAATCATTTAGCACTCTGGGTGTTATTTGGTGACATCTTGGCACAATAATGCAAATGTGTAATTAAAAAAAAAACAATACGCCGCTCTATGTTCTACGTTCCATTTTCAAACTGAGTCGGTAATTTTATTTTCACGAATTTTTTAATGGCTGTATGCGATCACAAAGAACCTATATTGTAATATTTTCACATAATTTTCATTATAACCCGATCACTATTAAACTAATAATGTACATGAACGTATGTTGACATTTCTAGTCCAAGCCCAACAATAAATAAAAAAGTTGATTAAAAAACACACATTGTACGCAGAGTACAATAAGCTGTTTATTATCTCTGTTGCATCATTGTGCCGTGCGAACATGTTCGCCATATTGTCGGTTGCTATAGCAACGCATTGTTTTCCCGCCATTTCGTGTGAAAACCATGGGATTTGCATAGAAACCTAGATACGGAAGGTACTGTTTGCTTTTGGCTGTGTTCATTACGGGGACCCTGTGATTATGTTCACAACGCGATATCACAGCAAATTTTAGAATATTTGGTTGAAATATTTCTTTAGTACACAGAATTTACAAACTTTGCTTGTATTGATGGATTTTGTTTTATTAAGTTTCGTCCGCATATGCAAACCCGTCCCTGAATAAAACCATGTGTTTAACGTGTGATATATTGGAGGTAGATATTTTAATATAATTAAAGTAAATTGTACTGTATGGTTGTGTATTGTCCGCAATTAATTTTTTTTTATTTTTCATACTGCTTTCTTGATATATGATAGCGTAGCGGCTTTTGTATTGATTGCCGCATGCATCCTCATGTAAAGTGCGAATACTGTAACTACCATATAGTAATTTTTGTAGCTGTGACGTGGTCGAGTGGAATGAGTAGTCATGCTCACTAAAATGTCCAGACATGTGGCGTCGTGGTGGGTCGGGTCATTGGGCTCCCTAAAATATGGTCGAGCGCAGTGATGGCTGGCTCATCCGTCATACTCGTGAACGAGTGCTGCTTGTAGGGACTGGTCTGCTCTTATCACTACGACTGATTTAATCTTATTGTGTTTTTATATTTGAGCCTAAATAAATTAGTGCTGGTTGGTAGTTTGTATTCACACGTTTCGACTCGTAAAATGTGAACTTACAAGGATTGTTTAAAAGAGGAACACACAAGTTTCTTGCTTATTCTTCTTGTGATGAGACAGCTTTCCGAATAAGCGGTAGATTTAAAAAAAAATGTTGACTATTCAAAAGTGCTTAAATTAAGTTTATTTGAATAAATGATTTTCTATTCTATTCTATTAGAGATTTCTTTTATAGCATGGGACAAACGAGTTTGTGGATCACCTGATGGTAAGTGATTACCGCCGCCCATGAGCACCCGCAACACCAGGGGAATTGCAAGCCTTTTAAAGAGTGAAGAACTCTTTTGTTGAAGTTTTCAATATATAGAGATGTTACTGATTTTGTGTATTGTCTTTTATAGAATCTTTTATATTTCCTTTAAACTTTTATACTTCTATTTAAAAAAAATGTATAAGTTTCTCTTGTCATTGTGACACAAGAATTTCGATAACTGGGCGACCACTAGTTATTGTTCTATATAAAACTCTCGTGTCACAATGTTAGTTACAATACTCCTCCGTAACGGTTTGACCGATTTTTATGACATTTTATATGCATATTCAGTAGGTCTGAGAATTGATATTATATTTTATACCAATAAGTGATAGGGGTTGTCCATCCCTAACATTTTTTTTACAATACGTTTTGTCATATAAATGAATGAATGAAATGAATGAATATTAATTTATATGACAAAACAACGTTAGCCGGGTCAGCTAGTATTTTGCGGAATGCATGCAATCTTTTCATATATTTTTTTTATATTTTAGTCAGTGCTAAATCTGAAGAAATAGTGGAGAAGAGAGCAACTCTTTACAAAGATACATAGGATAAAGAGCTAGGTACATTGAAAATAAAAAACCATGTCATCACGACTGTTATCGCAGGAGGGGTAGTCAGAGTCATTGTCAACTGTCCATGTTATGGTGAACGGAACACCATGAATCCATAACAGAGGGCGAGCTTACCGCCGTCTCTTAGATTCATTTTTGAGTTATCATTGTTTCCTTCACCTCCTGTTGACGGTCCTGGTGGTCTAGAAGTTTAGTATACCGCTTTACTTCCGATGGTCGCGGGTTCAATTTCTCGCACGGCACAAACACTTGTATTCATGAGTATAATTGTTTGTATTGGTCAGATCTTATTCATTTGGTTCCCTCTGATCGAGTTTTCATCCAATTCAAACGGGGATTAAAATTACGACTGTTTGAGCAGAGGTCCGAATTCATAGCAGTGCCCTCGGATTAAACTCATATCCCTTTTTTTGTTTGTGTAACACAAATATTTATCTTATATATAAAATTCTCGTGTCACCGTTTTCGTTTCTATACTCCTCCGAAACGGCTTGACCGATTCTCATGAAATTTTATGAGCGTCTGAGAATCGGCCAACATCTATTTTTCATTCCCCTAAATGTTAGGGGTAGTCCACCCCTATATTTTTTTAAATTTTAATGTAAAACAACGTAATAAACAGCTAGTATAGTATAAAATAAAGTCGCGGCCGCTCTGATCGCCAAATATGTGCCAATTAATTGCGGTTTTTAATGATAGATAGAGTGATTACAGGAAGGTTTATATGTATAATTTATTTTTTATATTAACAACTTTAATTAATATTATTGACATGTGTAATAATAGTAATAGTAGCGATATAATCTTGTAACACAAAGCATGCTGTAATAATGAGAACAGTTATTTTAATACCATTAGAATTGTATAGAATCATTACAATTTTTT